GAATAGGATGCTGTGCCCAATGTTTTCTCTTCTCCTGTGTGGTAAGGGCTGTTTTTTCCCCTGGCGCGTCCAGCATGTGCCCTTTTGCCAACTCTGGAGCCATTTAAAGAAACTGCAGTAGTTCAGTTTGTGTGAATGTGCTGCTGCGTCAAATACAACACAACCTTCAGATGCAGATAATGCAATGTTGTGTGCAATAAAACCTAAATATGTGCAATTTTTCTGCAGATAGTTTCTTTTTAATCAAATAGTGTTCCGTTTGTTATTTCTGGATGCTGTTTTAATGACTACATTGTTGTTGAGATTTAGAAATTGATCTAATTAATTTAAATCCTAATAATTATATGATGGGCGACGCAGTGGCGCAGTAGGTAGTGCTGTCGCTGGTTCGAGACTCGGCTGGGTCAGCTGGCATTTCTGTATGGAGTTTGCATGTTCTCCCTGCATTCGCGTGGGTTTCCTCCGGGTGCTCTGGTTTCCATACAGTCCAAAGACATGCGGAATTGGGAAGGCTTAATTGTCCGTAGTATATGAGTGTGTATGGATGCTTCCAGACCTGGATTGGCTAATCGGGAAGACCTGGATTGACTATAGTTTCACTCTTTTTATTCATTATTTTGCCGCAGCTCTGGTCTTGTTATTTATCTTCTCGCAGCCCCAATAGCCAAATGCAGCCTGCAAGTTAATGATGATGACCATATTTAGACCACGATGAATATTACACCATTAATAGACCATATTTAGACCACCATTAATATTACACCATTAATAGACCATATTTAGACCACCATTAATATTACACCATTAATAGACCTTATTTAGACCACCATTACTGTTACACCATTGATAGACCGTATTTAGACCACCATTAATATTACACCATTAATAGACCGTATTTAGACCACCATTAATATTACACCATTAATATACCGTATTTAGACCACCATTAATATTACACCATTAATAGACCATATTTAGACCACCATTAAAATTACACCATTAATAGACCTTATTTAGACCACCATTAATGTTACACCATTAATAGACTGTATTTAGACCACCATTAATATTACACCATTAATAGACCATATTTAGACCACCATTAATATTACACCTTTAATAGACCTTATTTAGACCACCATTAATGTTATACCATTAATAGACCGTATTTAGACCACCATTAATATTACAGCATTAATAGACCTTATTTAGACCACCATTAATATTACACCTTTAATAGACCTTATTTAGACCACCATTAATGTTACACCATTAATAGACCGTATTTAGACCACCATTAATATTACAGCATTAATAGACCTTATTTAGACCACCATTATTATTACACCATTAATAGACCATATTTAGACCACCATTAATATTACACCTTTAATAGACCTTATTTAGACCACCATTAATGTTACACCATTAATAGACCGTATTTAGACCACCATTAATATTACAGCATTAATAGACCTTATTTAGACCACCATTATTATTACACCATTAATAGACCATATTTAGACCACCATTATTATTACACCATTAATAGACCATATTTAGACCACCATTAATATTACACCATTAATTGACCTTATTTAGACCACCATTAATGTTACACCATTAATAGACCGTATTTAGACCACCATTAATATTACACCATTAATAGACCATATTTAGACCACCATTAATATTACACCTTTAATAGACCTTATTTAGACCACCATTAATGTTATACCATTAATAGACCGTATTTAGACCACCATGAATATTACACCATTAATAGACCTTATTTAGACCACCATTATTATTACACCATTAATAGACCATATTTAGACCACCATTAATATTACACCTTTAATAGACCGTATTT